TTAATATTTAAATATATAATTTAGAAAAATGTACTATTTCTTTTGTATTTTTGTTATTTCAGTTTTTACTGTAGAGACTGTAGATGAATCAGCATTGCTATTGTTTGTTGGTGATGATAAAATAAAATTTACTGCTTTTTCAATATAGATTTTATGTTTTACGATTGTTGACTTTTGTTTTGATTTTGATGTGCCAATATGAAATGAGCGAAACAGCGTTAAAAAATAGTCTGTCGTGTCCAAATGACATGTACCTATTACACATTTCTTTAATATTTTTTTTGACTAATATCGATGTCGCGCTGTAGGTAGGTATCACGATTGTGTAACAATGTAAAGGTGTGCAATGTCAGTTGGGCTTGTGGCACTCGTATCCAAATTTAGTTGGGTAAAGTAACGTATTCTGTAAGTTGAAAATAGTTCTGTGCGTGTTTACGTTTTTGTGTTTGTATGTATGTATGTGTGTGTCTGTTGCACACGGCACACGATATCTTTCCCAGAGATCGACTCCAGAAATAGAATTCTCCTCAAAAGTAAAAGCCGGGTCAGAGTTTTATTGGCCAATTTACATGTACTTGTATAGAAACCCTTTTTTGGTAATGTTGGCTACTTGTATATAATCTCACTGGCACTGAACACTTGTGTTTCACTCCGGAATTTTGATTTATCACTGTCGGAACGTGTTGAGTCACAAGATGCTTGATATGCTTTCAAAATTTTTAGTGGTGATAATTCGTTTTTCTTTTTTTAGTTATCGTGAATCACTATCTTTTTTTGGTTATTTTGGTCATTCTATAAACGTATTCCTGTTTTAAGGTTAATGACTTGAAACTCAGTTATTTTGACTAGTAAGTCGTTTATTTTTTTTTATTTGCGAACAATAAATACATAAATATTTAACAATTATATGGCACAGCACTTGTTTAATTAGTGCGAAGCCGAATTCACTCCATGGAACACTATCACTTGGAATTTTTGATACAGCCTTTTTTTCGTTGATTAGGTAGGTAATAAATTTTAACGGTCAGAAAAGTTCAATTCCAAGTTTGAGAGTTAATTGATAAAAATAGCACACTACTGAAGTATAAATACGTAATCTAGTTGTGAAATAAATTAATAAATAAATAACATACCTAAAAGCTAATGAGATACAAATTTTGAAGTGAGCATAGTAAAAGGTTTGGCGTGTGAATATAGATACAAAACAGCTCAGCGGCAATTCTTTCAGCAGATAGATCTTTGCATTATTATTATCGAGTAAAAACAACAATCAAGAGACAATGACATTATTTCTTACTTTTAACCACCAACTTGGCCGACTGCTCCACTTGTCCGGCAGACGAAACGGCTCTGCAGGTGAAGACACCCGAATCTTCTTCGTACGTGTTGGCGATGAGTAAAATCGCATTGTTGCCCTCATGAATCATCTGAAAAGAAACATAATTATTTTTAAAATTGTTTATTTAATTGAATATTACTTTACTTTCATAATGTGAATTTTCATTTCAAAACAAGACGTTTTTACTAGTGATTTTTCTGGGTACCCGGTATTAGCTGTGAAGTCACTTTGGTTAATAGTTCTTTTTATCAAATTACAACAGTATTACAAATTTAAAACATTTTTGAAAACGATACTGCTAAATATATGTAATTATTGAATTTCCTATTAAGAAAACTAGTCAGTTATAGTAGGAACTAAATTTACATGTTTTAAAGGAGTTCAAGAGTTAATTAATAAAGTAATATAAAAGGTACCTACATCGCATATCAAAAAATGTTGTCTAGGAAAGTACTTGTACATTACTATCAATTCATCATCGTCAGTTAATTTGTAGAAAAGCTAAATTAGAAATAGCATGGAACAGTTTTGAAACAACCTGATTCAAGTTTCTAATTTATTTGGGCTAGAGGGGCCTATTAAATTTTATCATAATTATCTTAGGAGTAAAACAATTTTCATGTAGGTACTGTATTTGGATAATAATATTATTTGTCCTTATTTAAGATTGATCATTTTGAAATTTTTTCATTTCATGTGCCACCATTTGGGAAAATAGTAGTTTTGCTTATAACAGAATTCGACTGAGGATACATAGTTAAAATTAGATTAAGATAAATTTAGTAGTTACTGTTGCTAGTTTAGAGAAAACTAAATCATGTATTGCTTCTACATCATTAACGTCTTTTTATTTTTTCAATTTAAAACACTGATGACAGAAAGTAAATTCTGTTTAAAAAAACCGTACTATTTTTAACTTGCTTCTTTTTTGAAATTGTTTCCATTTCATTCAAATCGTATAAATTTTAAATAGACGTCAGCTATTCGCAAAGTAACGAGTTAAAACAAGTCAGATTTAAACCACCACAAAAAGCTATTGTAGTTTTGGTAAACGTTTAAATAATAGTAAAAAGTTTTTTTAACGTAACCATAAATAATTGCCTCATAAGATTTTAATGGTTCAATTTGGATGAAAGTTCGATAATATCAAAATAGAAAGAATTCTACAGTCGTTACTATATTTTTTTTTGCATAAAACCGATCAATTTATGTTGCTTTTTCTATGGAAATAACAATAAATCTGAAAATTATTATTAATGTCCTAACAATTGTTTCTATTAGTCGGTCATCGAAATTGTAGAAGTCAGTAGCAGTACGACCTAACTATTGTTTATTAAATGAAAATTAGACATAAAGAAAGTAATTTAGAAGTTGACCATATTAATGTTCAGAAAACGTATTTTGTCAGTAATTTGTTGACCGCTAATAGTTTAGTGTTAATTACATTTGCTGTACTCTTGAAAATGACCGAATAGGTCGAAACGATTGTCGAGTTTATTATGTTGGAACATTCTTATGTTTTATTTGAATAATAAATTTTAGTTTGTTCTATAGTCCAGGGATAGGTACAATCAAAAAGGAATCGTGAATAAAGTCGGAAAAATTAATAAAGTTAAAAAAGGTGAACATCACCTAGCAAAATCAGTAAAAATGAGAAAAAATCACCAACTACAACTTTTCTTGACGGATTAAGTCAGTTCAGGTTGCCTTAAGTCTTTTTTCTTTTTTGCTGTTGGTTAGGTAATACCTTCCTTTTTTAACATCATTTGTCATTCGACTATATACCTTCAACTTCAATTAGCTATTATGATCAATATCTGATTAATATAAAGAATTATTCATACATAGTCAATATTTATGTATAATTGCTTTTAATCAGATTGTCTGTAACATAATATATACACGTGTCCAACAACTTGGAAAAATGCAGAAGTTTGACTGTTCCAAAATAATTAATTTTGCCAGAAAGTGACTTCTTCAGATGGAACAGTTAACTGTCAGTTTTTGATACTGATAGCTTCATTCTAAATAAATGGCGGTGAAATATTGTTTGTAAAAGTGTATGATTGACCGGGCATTTTATTTTTATACCTACACACTCATTTATTTTTATCATCATTGCATAATCACCATGATTTATAAATGTGTTAGAACTTGAGATGAATTTGTAAATAATTACCTGAAAGTCTGGCGATTCTGGAATAAGAAATCCATCCCTCAACCATTGGATCGTAGGTTTCGGTTTTCCACCAACGGTCGTTTTGAATTGGGCTGGACTACCTTCCGGAACAATGATATCTTTCATGGGAGTTAGGGAAGGTGGAATGTCTTGACTTTCAGGAGCTAAGACGTTCAGTTTCGCTTGTGTACTGACAGAACCTGCCGGATTTTGAGCAACACATTTATATGTCCCTTCGTCTTCTGGGAAGGCCTCGGAGATTTTCAAAGTATAGAAATCTGCTTCTTTCACCATTTGGAAGTATTTCGATGGTTTAATTACTTTATTTCCTTTGCTCCAAGTAGCTGTAGGTGCCGGTTTTCCGGTTATTTTACATCGGAATGCTGCCGGCTGGCCTTCTTTAATGGTTTGATCTCTAAGTGGCTCCACAAGTACTGGAGGTTTTTCAGCACCAGGAGATGCTGGCTTCGACGGTTTAGCTCCAGTAGACGGCGATTGCACGATACATTCTGCTTCGCAACGTGCTTCACCAGAATCATTTACCGCGACACATTCATATTTGCCAGAATCTTCAGGAACGACTTCGATAATTAACAAGGTGTTCAAGTCATCTTCTTCTAATGTCTTGTAACGTATATCAGGGGTGATTTTTCTTCCATTTTTCAACCAGTACACATCGATTGGTTTTGTGCCGTTTACACGGGCATCGAATCTAACTAACTGTCCAGTAGATACGGTTGTACTTTGAATGGTTGTCACAAAGCTCGGTGGAACTTTACCGCCTCTTCCTTGCCGTTTACGTTCTTGTACGATCAAATTGGCGCTACATTTGGCAGTGCCTCCTCGATTTTCGGCAATAACACTGAAAACTCCAGAGTCCTCGACGTATACTTGTCTCAAAACAAGTATCGATTTCGTGCTCATGGTGTAGATTTTGAAATCGGGAGAACTAGTGATTGGGAAATCTTCCCTGAACCATTTGATGGCAGGTAATGGATCACCATCAAATTCGACTTCGAATCTGGCTTGTTCGTTTTCGAAAACTCTGCAGGGTTGTATTTTCTTTGTGAAGAAGGGCGGTTTGCTGGGTTTTGCCTGACCTTGAACTACGCGCTCCTGTGTCAGTGCTTTGTGCTCTACATCAGTCGTTTCAGTAGCTGTTATGTTTCTAGTAATTTCTGTATCTCCGGCTTTCTCCTTTTGTACCTGTTTCTGTTTTGTAACGTACACTTCCCTTCCGTGTACTGCCGATTGGGTTGGGTCGGGAGGGTAGGCACCCTTTTTGGAATCAATTTGGTACTCAGTAGTGCGCTGAACTTTGCTCTTGTCTGTTTCTCGGAGACTTACTTCTTCAGGCTGTACTTCCCTTTAAAAAGAACACGCAGTATTAGTGATACAGTTTAACAAAAATAGTCGCTGTAATACTTACAAGGTTTCTTCGTATCTTTGGGCCATTCCTTTGGCAACACTGCTGTTGACAATCTTTTCACCAGGAATTGCATACTGGTGAGTTGATTCTCGTAGTCGAACTTCTTTTGTGACTTGTTCGTTTTCCAATTCTTGTATTTTACTGTAATAATCTTCACCTTTCTTTTGTTTCACTTGTTGTTGCCATTCTGCTTCGGCGTCCTTGTAAATCTTCGGTTGAACGTGAATAGTTGAAGGATTGAACTCTCCTTCCTGGAGTGCTGTGTGACGTTCTTCGAAAATGCGTTCGAGTTCGGTTTCTTGACGTTCTTTTTGGTATTGTGACAATTCGCTGTCGTACCAAGCTGATCACATGATTTCACAATTAATTCATTGTAAAGAGTAGGTGGGAAAAGAATGAAAATTACAATTTTACAAACAGCTCAATACCACAACACGACAAGAATCTATGAATACAAACAATAATGAAACATATGTTAAAGGATGGATCATGCAAGACGTTATTAATTTTATACGCGGGATTATCTATCCTACCTCTTTGCTTGTCCTTGCGATTTAAATTACCTTCATTCCATCGATGCTGCTCGACCACTGGATGAAGATGTCGAAGCAAGTGGTGAGGAGAGGGCGAGGTGTTATTATATATAAGTGTTGTAAATCGTGCTTATATATATGTGAATTAGCAGCGTGTGCTTGTTTTTGTTTATAAATAGTTAAAGCTGATTGTTGGCATAAATTGTCGTGTGTGTTTATTGTGCATTGTTTTGTCAGAATAAAAGAAGAGATATGATGTTCTAAACGATGAAGGACTAATACTTTTAGTTACTTTACTGACTGCAAGATTTTACTATTGAGAAAAGTTTTAGCCCTTCGTTTGAAATGAAAATTATTAAACTCACGTCTCGGTGAATTTTTCAGCACACTTCTGTAGTCATCGTGTCTAGCAACGATTGTCAATTCCGTTTCGGCTATAGCTTCTCCCACGGAGCTACGTGCAATGACCTCTATTTTTCCCGTGTCATATTGTCGGGTCTTTGGGATATCCATGTGGTACATTCCGTCATAGGTAAGTTTATAACGTGATCCATTTACCACAGTGTGACCATTGATCAACCACATCACACGCGGACGAGGATGTCCAGTGACACGGCAGCAGAATCTTGCCCAGCCGCCTTCCTCTACTGTGCATGGTTCTGGTTTGCTCACAAATACTGGTGCAGATCGTGGTTTAGATTCTTCTTCGACTTCTTCAGGAACCCTGCAAATTAATTGTATTGTGATAAAGTTCTTTTTATATAAATTTCAATAGAATACGTACACTTGCCATGCGGCTTCTAATTCTCTAATTCTTTCAATGCTCTTCATTCCTTTCGGCAGTTGAGAATCGTATATGATTCCTGGTTTACCGGTTGTTCGGATGATTGCTCTGGTTTCATCCATTCCGTAAAGATTAGTAGCACGGCATACATATTCGCCACTGTCCTCGGGGTAAACCCATCCGAAGTTCATGGCGACGTAACCGAAGTCGTAAATGGGTGTGAAGCGATTTTCTGTGAATTGTTAGATTAATTAATCAATAATTAAAATTTCCGGACATGACTTACTGTGGGGTAATGGTTTTCCGTTAAGGAACCATTCCACTTTCATGTTGGGATCGCCAACTGGTGCCAGTTGACATTCGAACTTGCTGGTGTTCATCTCCACTAACTCTGTTTGGTCTTTGATTTGAGTAACAAACCGTGGAGGTTGTTTCTTATCGGGATCGTATAAATCATCTTCGGTAAGGTAAATTTCTGAAGTATACTTCTTGATTGCGGCCTCCATTTGCATTAGTGTTTCAGACCTCTTCATTCCCTTAGGAACTTGGTTTTGCAGAACGATGTTGGGCAGTTTCTTACAAGATACCGTGGCTTTTGTAAAGTCTTCGCCGTAATCATTAACAGCTCGGCACACATACTCGCCAGAATCTTCAGGATATACGTACAATATGTCCAATGATACGAAACCCATATCGTACATTGTTCTATAACGATGACCAGCGGGCAGTAATTTTCCGTTTCTGTACCATTCGATTCTTAATTTTGGATCTTCTTTTGGTTCCACACGACATTCAAATCTCACCGATTCGGCCTCTTCAACAGTAGCTGATGTAATGTGGGTAATAAATTTAGGTGGTGAGCGGATGGGTTCGTCCTCTTTTGGTGGTTCGGTAACGTGACCCTTTTCTAGTTCTTTTAATTTTTCAGCACTCATGCCGCTTGGAAGTTGTGAATCTGTATCAATGTTATGTTTCGACGTGCAGGTCACGGTGGCTTTAGTGATTGCAGAGCCCCATTTGTTTGTAGCTCTACAAATATATTCACCAGCATCGCGTGCATATGAATAGTCAATGTCAAGGGAAATAAATCCGAAATCGTTAATTTGGTGAACGCGTGAGCCTGTAGCAAATGGTTTGCCGTTGTGGAACCATTCAATTCTCATCGTTGAGTCGTTTGTAGGCTCAACTTTGCAATCGAAATGGATCGGGCCACCCTCAGGAACGTCAATATTGTCTTTAATCTCCACAATAAATCTGGGTGGGTTTGGCGTTTCTTCTTCTGGCAGTATTTCGTCCTTCTTATGCAACGTTTCTTCGAGTCTTTGAATGCTTTCGGTTCCTGTTCGGAAGTCAGTAGGTAATTGAGGTTCAAGGATAATTCCTTGTCTTCCTCTAACGGATAGTTTGCAAGAAACTGTAGCTTCGCCATGTTTATTTGTAGCTTTGCAGGTATACAATCCCGAATCGCGTTGATAAACACCTGCGATTTCAAGAATGACAAATCCAAAGTCGTTAATAGTCTTGATTCTTGAACCTGCCCAAAGGGCTTTTCCATTGTGGAACCATTCCACTCGCATACTAGAATCGTTAACAGGTGTAAGTCTGCATTCAAAGTGTGCCAAAGAGTTTTCGGAGAGGGTAAGGTCAGAAGGTGTAGTGATGAATTCTGGTGGTTTTCCTTCATCTTCTTCAGGCGAAGGTGGAGCTGGTGCCGAGCCAAGACCTTCGAGTTCTGCTATTTTATCGATAGTATTTTCCATTCCTTTTGGTAGTTGTGATTCCAAAATGATACTTCTTTTGCCTTGTACTTTCATTGATGCATTTGTTACTGCTTCTCCATATTCGTTGATTGCTCTGCAAGAATATTCTCCAGAGTCCTCTGGATAAACAGGCGATATTTCCAAGATAACAAAGCCGAAGTCGCAGAATGTACGGAATCTTGAACCAGTTCTTAACGGTTTTCCATTCCAGAACCATTCTACTTTCAATTTTGCATCATCGGTTGGAATTAGCCGACCTTCAAAATGAGCGCTTTCTCCTTCACGTAAGTTGTCAATGTTGGATAAGGGCACAGTAAATACAGGTGCTCTGCCTTTTTCTTCAGTGACGTCTTCGTGTTTTTGTCTAATAAGTGAATCTTCAAGTGTTTGAATTTTTTCCAAGCCTCCTTCCATGCCCTAAAAGAAAATTATGCTTTAAGGCAAAACTCATTCTAACCATGGTTTTAATTCTACATTTTGTATAACAATTAAAAAATCTGAAACTAAAAAACTTCATTGTCAATTG